ACCAACCACCCCCGCCACTAATTGCAATTAAGCTCAGAGGACCAGACCAGAGCTGGTCCAAAGCAAAAACCCCAGCAACGGGCCCAGCATGAGGGCTGGGGGCTCAGAACCACCTTTTCCTCCCTACAAACTTCATCCCTCAAAAATACAGACAGAAACCAAAGTTTTCAGGGAGAATAGTTAAATCTACATATTTTGAGGCCTCCCTCACTGCTTCCCAGTCTACCTTTATTAAAACCTGTTTATTTGGTAACTTCCAAGGTTTGAGCCATTCTGTTCTTTGTTACAGTGCTAGCAGAGTGGAACTGCAACATTTTAAACATTTTTATTTTTCGTGGGATATTTTATAGATGTCAATGTTTTGACTTCATTTTTATTCTGTTTAGATTTAAATGTATATTGGCTTTGGGTTTTGAAAGCTGTTTTTTAGGAAGAAAAGGTAGGGACAGGAATTTGAGTGTGTCACCTTTACAGGTGCTTATTGCAGTCCAAATTGGGGGGGTGGAAGGGGGTGGGGGGTTGTCCCTGCATACTCTAAAACAAAAAATGGAGGTGACCCCCCCCCCGGGTTGTCCCTGCATACTCTAAAACAAAAAATGGGGGTGACCCCCCCCAAAAAAAATGATTCTTTTGACATCACTGTTTAGATCCATATACTCTCTTCTTCTTTCCAAGATTTCTGCAAAATGTGTTCCCCTCAGGGAGAGCACGGCCAATGAAACAGTCAATGCACTGACTTGATGTTGTAGATGGGGTGGGCTCTCAAATGTCCTCATGGAGCATCTTCTGGGCTGCTGCTGACAGCTGTCTCCTGTCTGCTGCTGGGGTTGGGGCAGGGTGGTCCAGCTGGGCTGTGGCCAGTGGCGGGTGGCAGTTCAGCGAAGCCCCAGTGATGCCAGAGCAGGAATAGCCACCAGGAAAAGCATTAATTAGAGGCCGGACAAAACTTCCTCCCAAACTCATAGTGACTACTGAGTACAGCCCCGGAGACACAGTTGCAAAGGTGGCTTCCAGCTATTTATTTTACTTTACTAAACTGTTGAGGTGACCCTGCCATGGTGGGATTACTGGAATGGTCTAACTCTGGTGGTGGCAGTGTGCTGAAGGCACAGGTTCAGGCTACCTAGCTCAGGACTGCTCTTCTCATGCTTGGCTGAGCTGCTTTGTGTGTCATGCTGGCAAAGTGCTGCAGATCACCCCAGTTCAGCAACAAGGCTGGGTCTATATCTCCACTGGGAGATGCAGAGCCCATGACTTGCTAGGAAAACGTGAGATTAAGATTAAATCAGGAGGGAGGACAGGTTCTCAGCTCTGGATGATTTCCCTCCAGGTGCTTTTCCCAAATGGAGCAGCCCCACCAGGACAAATTTGAACGTGCAAAAAAAACCCATTTCCATTAAACAGCATGATATCACATAAAAATGAGTATATTAAAAATTTTGTTTGAATTCTACAACCTGAACTGCACCAGAGCCTCACATAACTTGGCACTTCAAAGGTGTTTAATTATAATGATCTACTACAAACTGCTTGATCAATGATGGAAGTGGCTCAGCCATCCACCTCAGGCAAGTTACAGCACCTGAGGACTGGGATCAAAGTGGTTTACTGCTGCCTGTCACCAATACTTGCAATGCTTATAAATACTTAAAGGGTGGGTGTCAGGAGGATGGGGTCGGTCTTTTTTTCAGTGGTGCCCAGAGACAGGACAAGAGGAAATGGGCACAAACTTGAATATAAGAAGTTCCACCTCAACATGAGGAGGAACTTCTTCACTTTGAGGGTGGCAGAGCCCTGGCAGAGGCTGCCCAGAGAGGTGGTGGAGTCTCCTTCTCTGGAGACATTCAAAATCCACCTGGACACGTTCCTGTGCGACCTGCTCTGGGTGGACCTGCTCTGGCAGGGGGTTGGACTGGATGATCTCCAGAGGTCCCTTCCAACCCCATGTGATTCTGTGATTCCGTAATACATTAGTGATAACAAACTATGTGAGCAAGTTTCTGTAGGCCTTTAGATAAACAAGCCTTAAGTACTAAGAAATTTAGTGGAGAGGCTGATTGCCAAAGAGCAAAACACTTTTGGGCATCATTAGAGCAAAGGAATGTTTGATAGAGGTGGTCCCATGCTACAAGGACTGTGACAGCAAGAAGGACATGAGTATGCACAAGTGGGTAATTATGCAATAATTGTAGTAGCATAAAATGGTAATGCAATATAAACAATGGGCTTATTCATAAAACCCAGTTCCCCAGTTTGTATTGCACTTCCTTGCTGGAGCTGCAAGAGAGGGTCACCCTGTAGGAGGGAATTCTTTTGTCCAACCAGGCAATTACAAAAGCAGCATGGCATTTTGTTTTGTAACACAGGATCTAGATGCTTAGATCACCTCGATGCTCTGAAGGGCATAGCACTGGCCCTTATTTTCCATCAATTATGAATTTGTGCATTTATTCCTCATACATCTTCTGTAGGGTTAGCCTTATGGTTTTAAGCTCCACGTGTCAAACATCTTCCTTTACACTCCCTGTAGGTTTTAATTTAAGTGCAAGACTATTTTTGGCAGCGTGCTAGTTAACAGGTCACCTGAGAAGGAATACTATAGTGTTTAACCCCACAGATCCCCACCGACTTGGTGGCCCTGAGCTGCTGTACGAAGTCCTAAGCCAGGTCATTTTCTGTGCCCGTGCCGTGCACACCTTGCTGACTCCTGCAAGCTTCTGAAGCCATATCAACTTTTTCCAGTTCCTGGATCTTTTCCAGTGGTTCAGGCATCACACTGGCTTATGCTCTTTGTCACCGTGCACAAGTGGCATGGGCTGTTCCTGCCCAAAATCTCAGACATGATCTGATCTCTTCTCTAGAACACAAGCTCCAAAATACAGTTTCTTCAGCCCTAGTGCAGTCAGATTGTTCCAAATAAAACTTTTCTTCTCCTTTCTTTTTTTAAAGATTACGTCTATGTTTGATGTTCTCTATGCCTTTTCCTTCTTATAGTGTGTTTTCCTAGTTAGTTTCCAGTAAGTCTTCCGAAAAAAAAAGTGAATGTAAAAAATTTATATTTTTACCTTCTTCCTCCTTACTGGCAGACATTGCTTGCAGATCTAGAGTGCAATATTATTTAAATCCCCTTCAATTCATTTTCCAGACCTCTTATAAAATCTCAGAGCTTGTGGGATTCTTTTAGCCCCTTTCTCTGATCTGGACTATGACCCAGTCCAGTGACCTCTTGGTGCACAAAACATCTGTTTTGAATTATGTCCCATTCCAAACAAATGTGTAACACCAAGTGCTTTGCATCCTCCCAGAGGTTTATCCCTTAAAGACGCGTTTCTCAGTACGTATCCAACGCTGGCTCCAGCTCCCCAGGATCATTGCAGCTGCCAACAACATCTAGAGAGTCTCAGAGATAGGTGCTTTCAACCATCCCCATGCCAAATTCCTTTCACCCTGATGGGACATTCTTACTGTCCCTACCCACAGCTGGAATGACACAGGAGAGCCATGACACAAAAAAAAAAAAAGCAGCTCTCCTGTTGCTGTTGCTGCTCAACAGTTGCTGTTGTGCTTCTACAACATTCTTGCCTTCTGCAACTCTCCGGTTAGTCTTCCAAGAGCTGGGAAATGCAGCCAAACCTTAGCTCTGGCCAATAGCCAGGGGTTAAGTCAGTGCCAGCATGACAAACGCAACCACAGCTTCACCTCAGCTGTAAATACAAGGGCTGGGACTTTCCCTGAGACTTTGATGGGAAGTTCTTTCACCCTGCACAGACAGAGAAGGCTTGCAACATCCCCTCGTCCCACCCTCCCCCGTACGCTTGCCCCGGCTTCCACTAGATAAATGCCAGTGAGGCTGTCAGGGTTTCTGCACCCTGCTCTGGGCAGAGGACCTCTCTGCAGCTCTTGAAGTCTCTCCTGCTCCACCACAAACAGCATCTCACCAGCTGGGGAAGCGCTGGATTGCCTGGGGGGGACTGCAGAAGGTTGGGTGCACAGGTGAGTTTTATACAGACAAGCCACAGGTTTCTTCTCACTTCTGCAGGTGGGAATGGGGAACAGAATGGCTAAACTGTCAACCTGAGATGTTCGGGTGGGCTTGAACTTAAATTTTTAAGCCTCCTGATAAAATTTTAGGCCAGCCTTTCTCCTTGCTAGGCAAAAACATCCAAAGCCAGGTCACGTCTCCTTGTTTTGTATTGACATTATGCAACCTACTAGTCACTAATTGCTGGCATAAGGAAGCACTGAGACATAGGGAAGGATTTGTACTTGTAAAGTTAGGGCAAACTAGAACTTGGGATTAGTCAGTTGGTATCAGAGAGCTTACATAGCAGGTAAGTTTATTTAATCTTCCAGAGGTGTTTGCCATAGTTAAAGAAGTGGAGAAAACTTCTGCAAATAAGAATTGGTCAGTGGGTTTTAAATGATGAAGCTAGAGAGTGGAATTTCTTTCCAGAGCCAAAATTCTGGTTTGAATTTTAGCAGCAAGTGCAAGGGTGTTTCATTGACCCCAACACTAATAACAGTTGGAACTAATGATTCTTTTCACTTTTGGATTCATATGTGGATTTCATGTTTTCTCTTCCCATTCAAGCAGCATACCAATTTTAATCCTGTTTAATATTTTATACACAAAGGGCTTCAATGCTGCAGAAAGAAATGGATTTTTCTTAAATATTGTCTTATACCAGCTCAACATTATTAATTCAGAGAACATTTGCAGCTGTCAGAACTGTTCTTCAGCTTTGATATAGGAAAATTTCATATCCCCTCTAAATCTGCAAACACAAACTGTCACTCAGACTATGTTGAGACTTTATAAAATGATGCAATTAGTGGAAGATGTAAATTCTTTTTTAGATGTCGCCTTCCTGAACACCTAAATTTGTTAATAGAAATGATTTAGACTAGCATGAAATAGTACTGTAACAACACACCAAAATACTCCAATAGTCATTGCGAAATTGACCATTCCTGTACTTTCTTCCTCCTTATTGGAATTTTCTTATACAAGTATTTTAAGTACTTTTCATATTTGTATAATTTTAGGCAGATGGCGCGGTTTTAAATTACTTCTCTTAGTTACAGGCAGAAAAGAGAACTGTATAAGGGGTCTACATTGTGTTGAGAAATTATTAATGAAGTGTGCTGCCTGCGTTAGTGTTGTATTTCAGAGCAGGAGCTGACTTGGGAGCTGCATCTGCTGCCCTCCCCCATGTCCCAGGCCGTGGTTCACAGCACACACCAGGCTGGGGACATCCAGTCTGGGCTGCTCTTCAATACGCTCAACAACCCCGCCGCTAATTGCAATTAAGCTCAGAGGACCAGACCAGAGCTGGTCCAAAGCAAAAACCCCAGCAACGGGCCCAGCATGAGGGTTGGGGGCTCAGAACCACCTTTTCCTCCCTACAAACTTCATCCCTCAAAAATACAGACAGAAACCAAAGTTTTCAGGGAGAATAGTTAAATCTACATATTTTGAGGCCTCCCTCACTGCTTCCCAGTCTACCTTTATTAAAACCTGTTTATTTGGTAACTTCCAAGGTTTGAGCCATTCTGTTCTTTGTTACAGTGCTAGCAGAGTGGAACTGCAACATTTTAAACATTTTTATTTTTCGTGGGATATTTTATAGATGTCAATGTTTTGACTTCATTTTTATTCTGTTTAGATTCAAATGTATATTGGCTTTGGGTTTTGAAAGCTGTTTTTTAGGAAGAAAAGGTAGGGACAGGAATTTGAGTGTGTCACCTTTACAGGTGCTTATTGCAGTCCAAATTGGGGGGGTGGAAGGGGGTGGGGGGTTGTCCCTGCATACTCTAAAACAAAAAATGGGGGTGACCCCCCCCAAAAAAAATGATTCTTTTGACATCACTGTTTAGATCCATATACTCTCTTCTTCTTTCCAAGATTTCTGCAAAATGTGTTCCCCTCAGGGAGAGCACGGCCAATGAAACAGTCAATGCACTGACTTGATGTTGTAGATGGGGTGGGCTCTCAAATTAGAGGCCGGACAAAACTTCCTCCCAAACTCATAGTGACTACTGAGTACAGCCCCGGAGACACAGTTGCAAAGGTGGCTTCCAGCTATTTATTTTACTTTACTAAACTGTTGAGGTGACCCTGCCATGGTGGGATTACTGGAATGGTCTAACTCTGGTGGTGGCAGTGTGCTGAAGGCACAGGTTCAGGCTACCTAGCTCAGGACTGCTCTTCTCATGCTTGGCTGAGCTGCTTTGTGTGTCATGCTGGCAAAGTGCTGCAGATCACCCCAGTTCAGCAACAAGGCTGGGTCTATATCTCCACTGGGAGATGCAGAGCCCATGACTTGCTAGGAAAACGTGAGATTAAGATTAAATCAGGAGGGAGGACAGGTTCTCAGCTCTGGATGATTTCCCTCCAGGTGCTTTTCCCAAATGGAGCAGCCCCACCAGGACAAATTTGAACGTGCAAAAAAAACCCATTTCCATTAAACAGCATGATATCACATAAAAATGAGTATATTAAAAATTTTGTTTGAATTCTACAACCTGAACTGCACCAGAGCCTCACATAACTTGGCACTTCAAAGGTGTTTAATTATAATGATCTACTACAAACTGCTTGATCAATGATGGAAGTGGCTCAGCCATCCACCTCAGGCAAGTTACAGCACCTGAGGACTGGGATCAAAGTGGTTTACTGCTGCCTGTCACCAATACTTGCAATGCTTATAAATACTTAAAGGGTGGGTGTCAGGAGGATGGGGTCGGTCTTTTTTTCAGTGGTGCCCAGGGACAGGACAAGAGGAAATGGGCACAAACTTGAATATAAGAAGTTCCACCTAAATATGAGGAGGAACTTCTTTCCTGTGAGGGTGGCAGAGCCCTGGCAGAGGCTGCCCAGGGAGGTGGTGGAGTCTCCTTCTCTGGAGACATTCAAACCCACCTGGACACGTTCCTGTGCAACCTGCTCTGGGTGGGACCTGCTTTGGCAGGGGGTTGGACTAGGTGATCTCCAGAGGTCCCTTCCAACCCCATGTGATTCTGTGATTCTGTAATACATTAGCCCAACCCCATGTGATTCTGTGATTCCGTAATACATTAGTGATAACAAACTATGTGAGCAAGTTTCTGTAGGCCTTTAGATAAACAAGCCTTAAGTACTAAGAAATTTAGTGGAGAGGCTGATTGCCAAAGAGCAAAACACTTTTGGGCATCATTAGAGCAAAGGAATGTTTGATAGAGGTGGTCCCATGCTACAAGGACTGTGACAGCAAGAAGGACATGAGTATGCACAAGTGGGTAATTATGCAATAATTGTAGTAGCATAAAATGGTAATGCAATATAAACAATGGGCTTATTCATAAAACCCAGTTCCCCAGTTTGTATTGCACTTCCTTGCTGGAGCTGCAAGAGAGGGTCACCCTGTAGGAGGGAATTCTTTTGTCCAACCAGGCAATTACAAAAGCAGCATGGCATTTTGTTTTGTACCTCCCGGCACCCTCTTCTTTCCTCTTTAGCTAAGTTTAGTAAGGGCACATCAGCTTTTCATTTGTCTCTGCTCCATACCGTGTCCCAGATACCCACCTTCTCCTCCACTCCGATTGCACAGACAGGGCCTGGCACTCTCATTTCTCGCTTATTGCATGGTCTTGTAAGAAAAATTTAGATATTGCTTTTGCAAAGGAACAACATGGCCAGTTTTTGCAGAAGAACCACTTGTCCAGTCTGCAAAGAGGCAGCTAGGGCATGATTAACAATACAAAGGCTTTCCAGGAGACATGCAAGAGTGCTCATCCCTTAACAAAGGAGGAACCAGTCTATGCCAGAACAGCATCCTTGGAGAGGATGAACGTTTAACTGAGACTGGCAAACCAGGAATATTACTGAAAATGGGAATAAATAAGTGATGTAATTGATATGGGTGGAGTGATGAGGAGGAGTAAACAGGGGCGGGACAAAGCTAAGGAGTCTTAGGTGTCTCTGATGGGCTGTGACCTCCGGGGGTACCCAGCCAGTGGGGAAACAGGAGGGAAAGTTCAGCCGGGAATAGGGAATTAAAACAAAACCCACCAAAACATGGTGTGCCTGCTTGCTGGGTCACCTGTTCTTGCAAGAACGTTTAAATAAAATGTGCTTCGTACTGATGACTGCCTGAGCCGTTGTCACTGGACACAGAGTTTCTCGCAGTCATGGCGTGCAGAACTAAGGGTGTAACTTTTGCCTTGACCCCACATATTTCACGGGGGTAGGAACCAGAGATACCCAGTGGCCTTGACTGAGACCCAGGAGCAAGTAGAAACCAGAGTGACTTCTCTCTGAGGTTGGCAGCATCCGCATAAGAGGGCTGGGGCAGCGAGGTTTGTGAGAGACCCTCTGGAAGGTTTCTCTGTCCCCGCGGGGCAGGGTAAGGCTGGTTGCCTTCTGCTGGGCTGCAAGCAGTTGGGTGGCAATGCCGTGCTCCAAGAGAGAGGTTCTATCTGTACCAACCCCTGGGCTAGAAGCCAAGGCAACGACCCACCACCCCGCACACCCATCCCCGCTCGCCAGGCCAGGGAATTACCAGCAGCACCTGCAAAACCTGAGCTGAACCAAAATCCAATTTGGTCAAAAAAAAAAAAAAAAAAAAAAAAAACAAAACCTAAGTAGATCTTTCCATTTCTCAGTACAGGATGCTGCCCTCAAAAGTTCTGCAAATTTTTTGATAATTTTTTCATTATTATTTATAAAAACTTCTGGTTTTATATATTTTCAAAACATGTTTTTAAGTTCAGGCTTCTCAGCATTTAATCTTTGAAACCTGTAGCTTAAGGTTATTCCTTAAAGACTCCTGAAATCATTGGCTCAGTAAGAAGGGGAAATTCTTCCATCCTGAGAAAGAACTAGTTTTTAAAAGATTGCCTGATAAGAATTTTTCCTTGCTGAAAAATTCAACAGCATTTAAAACTGTCTCTTTTCTGTGAGAAACATAATTTCTTATTTCTGAAAATATCAGTGTTCATTTTGTCCTGAAGGC